GGGGGGGGGGGGGGGGAGATAGAGAGATCAACTGGTAGTTTTCAAGTATATCTTATAAAGCAAACAACAGATTTCAGCTCAGTAACATTACTGAAACAACAATAAGCACCAAGTTTCTGCAAGGTCACTTTCACTTGTGTAAACATAATTGCGAAATTAAATGCCAAATGAACAACAACTGAGAAATAGCTATTTGGTGTTCACAAAATGTAAACTTACAAAAGTCGAAGTCATGCCAGCACAAGCACCTGCTGCTAGTCTTCCAATGACAGAAAGCTCCCCATCCTTTCCTTGAAATAGTTTCTGGAAATAGAAAGTGAGAAATAACCTTAATTGTGGTGATACAACAAACTACTGTTATGTCTTCTCTAAAGATGTTTCAATACCTTGTAATTTTCATAAGCAAACAGCTGCACTGCACTATAAGGTATGATCCGTATCACCTAAAACATAAACAGAAAATATCAACTTGAAGTTTTAAAAAAAACAGAGCCCTAATCACCAAGAATCTATGACTGACTATAAATGTTAGCTCAACAGGAAAATGGAGCAAAAACCTGTGGAAGGTTGCCTTTCCAGTATCCTTTGATCCCTTCCTCCTTCCCAATCAATGCAAATGCCTGCAATCGAATTTTACGCATATATCAAAAACTTGAGAATCATAAGACTCAATGATGGCACCTATGAGTGGTAATTATTTCCCTATGGGAGGTTTGCAGAAAAGAGAAGCATAAGAAGAATTTACTTCTGCAATGTACCGATAAGGAAAATAACCATTATACTGTTATAGACTAAACAGGAGAGCCCAACCCAAAAGACTAGCCTATTAGGTGGGAGAACCCATTTACCATTTGAAATACTAGTCCTTTTTACTCAATGAAGGAGTCAATTGGTTCACATCAATTGCCCCTGCTTGACGACCAACGACCTTGTTGATCGCGGCTGGCACCACTTTTTTAGATCCAGACCACCACCACTTGCGGCACCCCTCTAGCCCAGGTGGTCATAGCTGGCATCTGTCCTTTTTTTTCGCTGTGTGTGTGTGTTGGGGGGGGGGGGGGGGGGGGGTCCAAGTCACAACTCTTGGTGCCCTACCAGGTGCTCACAGCTGGCAACCCCTCCATTCACGAGTCCAGGCCACCACTCCAAGTTGCGGCCTTAAGCGTTCATCAATCTGCTCTGATACCAATTGTTATAGACTAACATAAGAGTCCAACCCAAAAGACTAGTCTATTAGGTGAGAGAGCCCATTTAGCCTATAAACCAATTATTAGTACTCTTTTTAATCAGTGATGGACTCAATTGGTTCACAATAGAGAGCATCACTTGCTTATAACTAATTAAAGAGAAGTAATCAACCAAATGGCAGAAAATTGTACGCGTACGAGGATAATTTATCTATTCATCATAATAACTATAAAAAATTGTTTCTAAAGACAGAACTTCCCAAACTGAGACCCCCACCAAATTCTACAAATTTTACTAGGCGGTAGAATCGGTCACCAACACTGGCTGACAAGTAACAAGTTGACTATATTTCCACCCTCAAATCTAGAGTGGAAGGGACAGCCTTCATCATTTGTAGTAAATGGGTTCTAACTATGATACTGCAAATTACTCGCTTACTCTTTTGGATCAATCATCACAATACTAAAACTCCGCACAATATAAAAGAACAGCTAACAGGGAACATCAGACTACAGGAAACTCAATAAATTAAGAAGTAGATGCCGAGATGTGGGTAATTCTGAATTATTAACTAGGACATAGATTGTCTTTGTCGTATATCTCAAAAAGCAACAACAGGCAAGAAAACAATACAATACCTCAATGAATCCAACTCCCTTCTTTGCAGCTTCTTGTCCAGCTCTTAGTCCATGTGTCTAGCAACCAACGCAAATGACAGGAAGATATAAGTGCAAGGAAGAAAACGTAAAAGTGGCCGCTGTTAACTAAAATATGCATATCAAACTCATAATAGTATGGAGTCACCTTACCAGTAACAATATGAAGGATTGGGGCAATACGTAGATGGATACAAGTATGAGCTGGGGATTTCACTGTCGGGTATACAAATGCATAGTGAGAAAGGATGCTCGCGATGTCAAGTTTCAACACAGAATTTTTTTTTTTTCTCAAATGGAGTTTCACAAGACCAGAAGAGTGGGGAGGCAAGAAGAATAACCCCCAAAAGTCATTCTTGCACCGATATGTATCAGGCAAGTCATTCTTTCCTCTTTCTTCTCATAGAATAACAAAATAGCAGTAACGTTCATAGTTCCTTTAACTTGTCAACAGGTCAATGGCATAAACACATTGCAGCTGCACCTACACTCTTTGTCTACTTCTCTGCCACCGACATCAAAGACTGGACAATAAAGCCAATTTGGGCTTTTAAGATACACATTCAGGAATATAGTATAAGATGGCGAGAGTAGATGCTGATAACAAGTACTCCTACAAAGGATGTGGCCTTTTCTGGCTACCATTTAAGAAATCATATAAGTTTAAAGGTTATAAACCCTTCAAAAGAATATATTAGCAAACTAACAATCCTTCAAAACTATGAAAAAGATAATGCAAATACTTGCAGAAGTCAGTAATACCAAACAAAATTCATGTGAATTGCGTACCAGCCTACTTAGCCAAAACTAAATCACCATCCTGATCGGAGGATGACTTATCTGGCTATATCTCATGTTATTTTCCTCAAGTCCACTAACCAAATATGCTGTAAAGTCATTTTTAACTCTACTCTTAGTTACTGTCATTTGCTTTAAACATTTAGTTACCGTCTACTACTATAAGTATCACCAAATCTTGACCTCCTGCCCCATTCTCTCTATCTCCCACTATCACATTTCAGTTCAACCAAAAATCAATCAATCAACTATACCTCAATCCTGAACTAGTCAGGGTCTGCTACATGAATCCTCTATATTCACTCCACTCTTTTCTTTTCTTTTTTCTTTTTCCTTTTATCTAGATAACTGAGAAATTTTTGTATCCAGCTTCAAACTTTGTGAAAAGCGGACCCGCCTCTCTACTCTTCTCCATTTAAATACTATAAGTCAACGCTCTGAAGGGCATATTCACTCCACTTTATTGGGACCCACATTATTTTATTTGTTCAAAGTGTAGGAAATGAAACAAACAATTTTGTCAAGAAATTAAGCCTAAAGTTCAACCAAAATTCAATTATCCAAGAAAACAGCAGTAATATGGTAGTAAAAAAAAAACAAAACGATAAATTAAAAAGGAGAGACACCTGCATGAGGAGCTTGATACGGTCAAGGGGAGCAGTAACAGTCTTAGCAGCAGCACCAGCAATAGCACCAGCAGCAAATAAAGCAGCATCTCTTGGAACCAAAGCTACCATAGCTAATGGGTGCTTTATAAGCTGAGCTGTTGTAGGATTATTGAACCCTTTATTATTATCAAGATTCTCCGATAACGAGATGCATCCAAAATTGCACCCAATTTGACCCGTAGAACCGACCCATTTGGTTTGCCATTGTTGTGGTGGGTGAGTTTGAGAGGTGCTGTTGGATAATTCGAGACTCGGAATGTCCATGGATACTAAAACGGGTCGGTTCTTTCTCATTGTGGATACTGGGTAAGAGGAAGGAAGTTTTTTTTTTTCCCTCTGTTGTGAAGAAGATAAGAGGGGTTTTAGAGGGAGAATTTGGCACTTTGCAGCTACCTACTCTAGGGGTTTATTCTGTTTCTATATTCATTTCTTTTGTATAAATTATTTTTTTTTTGTATTATTATATTGTTTTGTTTCTTAAACAAATCCTTTTTTATAATCAAAAAGAAAATCAATCATTATTTTAAAGAGAACATATTCTATACTCCAGATCCAATGCTTTTTCTCATTTTTTTATTTATCTTCCTCTATGCTTTTTATTAGATGCCGTTTGGTTGGGTTTTTAAGTCAGTTATAGCCTGTTTGGCCAAGCTGGAGAAATCAGCTTATTTTGAGAAGAGTTTTTTTCAAAAGTGCTTTTGAAAAAAATACTTTTGGAGAGAAGCAATTTGTGTTTGGCTAATCAGTCTGAAAAGCACTTTTGAGAAATAATTTGTGTTTGGCCAAGCTTTTTAGAAAGTGCTTTTAAGTGTCAAATTACGAATAAGGACATGAATAGATTTACTTAATAATTAATATTATAAGTAAATAAATAATATCAAAATTTTGTTATTACATGCAATAATTAAAAAATTCATTTTATTTAAGTAAAATATGAAAATAAAATTTAAAAGTACTTAATTCTTTTAATATAAGTTAAATATATTAAAATTCCTTCAACAAATATAAAAGCATTCACCCCTAAAGTCACTATATATTAGAAAGTTTTCCTAAAAATAAGAAGAAATATTTATAAATTAATATCCTAAATATTAGGTTTAAGGGTTATTTTGGTATATACTATATTTTGTTAAGGATATTTTAGGTAAGAAGAAAAGCCAAAACTGCTTCTGCTTCTGCTTTTGGAAAGAAACTACTTTTTTCTGCTTCTCTGAAACTGCTTCTGCTTCTTCCCGAAAGCACTTTTTTTTCCCAAATAAGCTTGGCCAAACACTTCAAATTAGGAAAAAAAGTGCTTTTGGGAAAAAAAAGTGCTTTTTCCCCTTGAGAAGCTTGGCCAAACAGGCTATTAGTAGGCGTTTGGACATAAAAATTGTGAAATTTCAGAAAAAAGTTTTAAAAAAAATAACTAAAATAGTATTTGAAAATTAGAGTTGCATTTGGAAATGAATACAATTTGGAGCTATTTTTGAGTTTTGTGAGAGATTTGAAGTGAAGATTTTGAAAAATAACTTTCTAGAGTTTTTTAAATTTTTGAAAAATTCCGAAATTTAACTTTAAGTGAAATTTAAAATTTTTATGGACATACATTGATTCCCAAAAAAAGTAAAAAAAAAAAAATTGAAAAAATGTATAATTTTTGTCCAAACGAACCCTTAATCTTCTGGTTGGTATTTTACGAAGAATTTATCTCGGTATAAATTCAGCTAACCATGTGGAGGCGGAAGCAGAGAGGTGAGAGGGGGTTCAATTTGACTAAAAATATACTATGTAAATATGGGCAAAAATGAATTTTTTTTACTATACATAAATTGCTGAATCTCCTCGCCATAAATAATTTTTTTGAATCCATGGCTCCTTCACTAATGATTGTTTAGCTTTTTCTTTTTCTTCATACGTAAAACTCACACAAATTAATAAGGAAATTAATAATTATTTTAATGTAGAATAAGAATACATATATTAAATAATAGGCCAAATACATATACAGACCATTAAACTTGGCCCAATTTTTTATTTTGGCACTTTAATNTTTTTTTTGTAATTTCAAATTATTATTTTTTTCGTTTTTTCTGCCCCCCTCCCGTGGAAAAGATATTTTTTTATATATATTTTCAGTAATAACTACGAGTTCAACTAAACTCATAGCTTTTGACGCGAAGTAAAAATTTGTAAGTAAAAATTTATTAAAATTGTAAAAAAAAATAGATATAAACCCATAACATTAAAAATATAATGGGTTTAATATTAAAAATATTAAAATTGAATTATAGGATTTAAATTCTGGATCTGCCTCCACGTTGGGAGTATGAAATTTGGCTTAAAAAATGGCTCTCACGCGCCTACAAGGGTGAGGCAAATCACACATGGAATCTAGTTAGCTTTTGTGTTAAAGTGGAACAAAAGAAATGGGGTTGGAGGGCCAAAATAGAACAAAGCTGAGTTAAAGTGACAAATGAAAAATTAGACCAAGTTTAATGTGCTGTCTATATATTTGGCCTAAATAATACCTTGATTAGAATATTAAAATAATAAAGTAACCCTTATAATGTGAAATGTAACTTTTATTTTGCTAAAATTAAATAAAGATTTTAAATTATGCACTTTATATTGTAATTTATAATATATCAAACTAAACATGCAACAAAAAATAATCTATGTATTACAATTTATGCATAACTAATTTTGCATTACTGATTTCTATATGGCATTATTAATTCATGTATAATTTGTATCCAAACCAAACGATCCCTTATTTATTTGAGAAAAAATTAAACAAAATAAATTTAGGTATCTATTTATTTACCACTTAAAATTTAAAGACTGGTACGGCTAATTGTTATTCACAACATAAAATACATGTTTTTTTTATGATAGAAAGAANCCCAAGCCAACCCCAACTCACCAAAAAATAAAATCCTGATAGCTCCAATAGTTTTCGATCTAATTTTTCAAAGCTCATCTTTCAAAATCAATCATTTTAAAACGTGTTGTATCTCTTCTTTATTTTATACTCCTACTTGTGGGGTCAACTGTTACTAATAGCTTGTTTGTTCAAGTTTTTTTTTGGCCTTTAAGGTATTTTGCGAAACTTTATTGTTGAGTAAAAGCAGAATTTGTTTTTAAGAAAATTACATTTAGAAGTACTTTTTACAAGTTTGGTCAAATATTAATTGTTGTTCAAAAGTGTTTTTCAAATTAATTAGTTCATCATAAACTAATTCTCACCAAAAGTACTTTTTAGGAATATATTTTGTAGAAAAGCACTTCAAAATAAGCTGATTTTTAAAGCTTGACCAAACAAGCTATAATCATATTTTGCATATGAAAAGGTTCAGTTCGGATAATAGATTTATTTTTATGTAAGACCGTCTCCAACCATAACACCAAATTTCACACCAAAATGGTGTAACACCAAATTGACTCCAACCATTACACCAATTTTTACAACAAAAAAGAATATTTTTTCTCTTTCTTCTATATTATATTATATTATTATCTTCTATTTAAATTTTATTTTTTATTTCCTTCAAACAAATTCTATCTTTTTTCTTTTTTCCATATTCATCATATATAATTCACATTCACCACTTATATAATCATTTATTACAAGATTATTTTAAAGAATAAATCAACTAAAGGATAAATCATTTATTACAAAAACTAAACTTATGTTTTATATTTTTTAGTGTAATTTCAATTTTAATGTATCCTCCTTTGATGTACTTTAATTATAATGTATTTTTATTTTATGTATTGTTAATTTTCTTTTTTAAATTTTAGTTTCCACTTTTCAATTTTAGCAACATTAGATATCTTACATTTGCATTTTTTATTCTTAAATAATGGTTATATTTCTTTTTATACAATAATAATAATAATAATAAAATTAACTTATAATTATATATAAATATAATATATATACAAAAATTAATATAGCAAAAAAATAGGATATAAAATTAAAATTATAAAGATCTTAATATAAAAATTAATTATATACACAATTTATAATAAATTAAAGTCCAAAAAATAAAAAGATAAATAAAATAATAATAAATCAAATTTGGTGTTGATGAATAGTGTTGCACCAAATTTGGTTTGGTGCAAGATTTGGTGTTTCATTGGAGCAAAAAAACACCAAATTTAGATTTGGTGCAAAAAATAGTGCATCCTTGGAGATGCCGTAAGGATCATTTTTAAAAATTTCAAAAACTAAGAAAAAAAAAGGAAAGGAACAGAAAAAGTCATACATGTTTTGCATTTCTTTCACTTTTGTTAAAAAACTATTTGATGAAACAAAGAGTAAACTGTTTAATAAAATTGTAAGTAAGGAGCTGAACATTTGATTTTCAAAGATTTCACAAACCAAGAATTGAAATAGAATAAGCAAGATAAGAAGAACTTAAAGGAGGAAATGGAAATGGTCTAAGAATAATATTACACTATCTGTATTAATAATCTAAGGACGTCTTTATATGTGTTTACCCTAAAATTTGATTGAAAGGCTAAACCAGTTAAATTTGTAAAGTTAGATGTTAAACAATTAATTTAATACGATTAAATTGGTCCCTGTTAATTTGAAACAAGAAAAAGGTAATGATAACAACTAGTAAACGCAAGATATATAAATAGAAATTGAATTAAAGTAAAATCGATAATAGCTAGAATCTCTTACTGAACAATCTGCAAAATTGAACAAAAGTCGACTGAATCTTTGTACAGTGACTGTAGTATGTATTCAGTGATTGTGCGTAAAAATGCATGAATCATGATCTAGGAGGTGATATTCATATCTAGAGACTCCAAACCATATAATCGAAATAACAGAGCAACTAACTCAGAATGACCGCAACATGTATGCATTCCACCTATCACAACTGCTTACTGTCAATATCGATAACTCTCCCATTTTTCGGATAGTCTCTTACAGAATATTCCAAAAAGATTTACGCGGAAAATTTTATTAAATCGCCATCATTATTTTTGAATATGAAGAGACGTGCATCCTCGCCATTTAATGCTTAACCCTGACTAGTGAAAACATCAGCGGAATAAGGATGACATCCCCACACTTGTATATATTAATTCCTTCTTTCCTAGGATTATTTTATTAGATTTATTCTTGTTGTCGCTTTTGTTTAGGGGTGGGCATTCGGTATTTCGGTTCGGTATTTCGGTATTCGGTTTATCAATTGTGTATACCAAATACCGTACCAAAATATTTCGGTACGGTTCGGTATTTCTTATTTTGGTTCGGCACGGTTTCGGTACGATTTCGGTTTGATACATTAATGAGTAATATTTAAAATATTGACACGTCAACTACTGGAATTTCTGCTTCAATATTAAATTTTGATACTGCTTCAATATTAAGCTGCTTTTTCATATAGACGTGTCA